AAACCAGAATATTGATTCCATCCTTACCAGCAACAACATTGCCCTCTAATACAGTTCCAGTGGCTTTATTGAGGTAGAATCCGCCTTCCCATGGCTGGTACTGATCTTCTGCTTCGCCGTTGTAGGTACCAGGGAAGAACAAAAGGGATACCAAGTTGTACCGGAAGCTGTTGGTTTCACCTTCATCGACGATGCCTGTGGACGAAGACGTGGCAAATGAGAATGATATTTGCCAAACTTAGCAGTCAAGTTACACACGACTAACATTCTAACAGGAGTCAAGTTACACAAGACTAACACTTTATAATGTTCAAATGTGCCCAAATTCCATACTCACTAGAGCCAACAGTATAGTAAACGACGTTATTTTCAACGACGAAGTTGTTTGAACTGAAGAACCCAATAGCACTGTTGAAGTTCTTGTTAAAACTACATTTCTTCAGATAATTGGAACCATCATCAGTCCCCAGACTATGGAAGGCTATGGAGAACCTTGGATCGGTGGATTCTGAGAAATCCTTCTGACCCATGTTCTTAAATTCTACGCAGGAAAGCTGAGCACTCCCTGTTGACAAACAAATGTAAAACCACAGTGTTTAAATAGAGCATGAGCATGGTTAAACTTACAAGGTCTTGGCATGCCTCTTAATGCCTGTAAAATGTAATTCATCAATCAACATACTATTTGCCCTTGGCTTTGTCCCATTCTCTCTTTTCCTCTCTTACCTTGATAATCAACTCCTTCTGAAGTCAGAGTGGAAACGAGGACACGACCTCCAAAGCCTTCTGCATTCAGGCCTGCATAGTCGCTGCCTTCGATGACGATCTGGTGAGTTAGAAGCCCAACCTCGCCGGCCATTACATACTGAGTTCCGTCAGAAAGTGTGTGAGTCTCGCCTGAGAGAAATAAGAAAAGCATACCGATAAAAACTTGTCAGTATTAGCAATAGCCATGTAATTCTTTACAGTATTGGTTGCTTTTTGGAAAGCTATGTTTGTTTCTCTAATGAGATGTGTTTATTTGTAATATATAAAAAATAGAATAAAGATCTCTTTGACTACCTCAAAGCATACAGGAAATAGGAATGATTGTCCAAATTTGCACAAGAGCTCGGAGCTTATTCTAGGGGTGCCTGTGGCTTCCATTACCTAAATGTTCGTAGATAAGCGGAGCATCGAGGGTGAGAGTGTTACCAGATACGGCGGTGACCATCCGCACCTCGGTTTCGGTAGGCTCCTTCCCGGTGGTAGTGATCATTACCTGTAGAAAATGAATGTTTTTAACATGGCTGCTCTTTCAACAGTGTTCTACAGAGTAATGCTCACCCTTTCATACGTGGGTTAATAGTTTACACCCATACACAGCATAGACCTGCTGTAAGAAAAGTAGAATGCACTCATTCACCTCCTTATTGAGCCAAGACGAGTCGGCGGCTTCAGCCAGTGTGACAACAGTCTCCCCGGCGGCAGCGGTGGCTCCGAGTTTGACCCAAGTGGTGGAAGGACATTGCCCGTTGAGGATCAACTGTCCAAATACACCTGCAAAACGTTTCCTGTTAGTGTTAGCCAAATGTCCTCTCCTTTAGGTCTTCGTAACCGCTACCATTTTTACTATTCAAAATGAAAACAATGGTGGTTTTACCCATGGCCTTCCATCCAACGTCGGGTGTGCCGTCGGGCATGGGCATGTCAACATTGTCAGGATCGTTCGGGTCTGTGGTGCCCCTGAGGACGATGTTGAGCTTATGCGTGAAGGGGGCGTCTTCGCTAAATCCGGCCACCAGACTTCCACCCTGAGGATGATTTTAGACATGTTGCTGCGATAACCGGCTAATGGTGACGTATTCATAGCGTTTACACCTCGTAAATTTCAAGCACCTAGAAAATCCCCGGAGGGGCGAATGGGAACCACCTGAATGAAAACTCACCTGCAGGAAAATGATCGTAGCGTTGAACACATGATCCATTGTGTCTGCAAACTCCAAACCGCCATAGACGTAAACGCGGCCGAGGCTTGGGGTATCTGTATCCACGATAATCCACACACCTGAAAAAGAGGTAAGGTAGTTGTAAACCTACACCCGTACTGTAAAAGGACAATATCCCTGACTAAAAAAAAAAAAAAAAAAAAAAAAAAAAAAAAAAAAAAAAAAAACAGGTAACCGTGGACAGCTACGAAGTTTTCAAGTACAAATACTGTAATAAACCTTTCTCTCTCTCTCTCTCTCTCTCTCTCTCTCTCTCTCTCTCTCTCTCTCTCTCTCTCTCTCTCTCTCTCTCTCTCTCTCTCTCTCTCTCTCTCTTACCTGGTGGAATGATGATCTCGTCGCCTTCCACTGGCAGACCGTATTCTTCCTCCGTAGGATGTCCTCCCGATCCTACAGGAACTTCCTTCCATGTCTCGACGTCGGACCACAGGAAAGTAACATCAGGGCGGCCAGTGGGCACGGGCGGAGGCGTGGGAGGAATACAGCCCTCGTATTCGCACCTGCAGGAGTTTTGGGTCAGTCTGGGGTTCCTCATGGGGCGCTGGTTGAGCAATTTGTGCTTTGCATGATTTTATAGATAGGCTTTTTTTTTGTCACGTATGATCGGACACTGACATTACAATGAAAGGAAGTAGACAGCCCCTCGATGTGAAAATCCAAAGGGAAAAAGGAAATATGAAAATTCCATGAAAGGGAATTCACTGTGGTGACTCCCTCGAAATGCTAAACAGGATTTTATTTTTATTTGGTGATGAATTTAAAGACGGTAGCAAGAGCAAGATGCAGATCGTTGGTTATCCACACACACCCACACGCACACACACACACACACACACACACACACCACACACACACACACACACACACACACACACACACACACACACACACACACACACACACACACACACACACACACATACACACACATACACACACACACACACACATACACAAAGCGATAAGACTGACAGGTGTCGCAGCGTAATACAAAAAAAAAACTCACCTGTATGTCTCAAAGTTAATGTTTCGTGTTGAACCTGTCCTTCGCTCGTCAAAGACTGTTCGTTTCTTCCTGGATTCTACTTGATCCGAAACTGCAAAAGAAGAAGTATTAGTGTACACAGATTAGAGTATTTAAAGTATATCTATTTGAAATATCGATTAGAAATGAGAGTGTGTGCGCGCACATGTATGTATTGTGGGTGTGTATGTGTGTGTAAGTATAAGTTATGAGTTTGTGTGTGAAAGAGAGAGAGAGAGAGAGAGAGAGAGAGAGAGAGAGAGAGAGAGAGAGAGAGAGAGAGAGAGAGAGAGAGAGAGAGAGAGAGAGGATGTCCGAATTTCCCTTTCGCCCCCCCCTCGAAAAATCATTCACAGCATACCCAAGTAAGTCATCGTCTTCGCGGAGTCGTCCCAGTAGTATTCCCCGTGGAAGCCTGTAACCGGGTCTGGAAGGGAGTCGGAGCTGTTTCTCTCAACACCTGTCGTGCTGCAGAAAAACGAAAAAACAGGAAAACGAGATTAGTTTCATTCCGCGAAAAAAGAGATTAGTTTCATCCCGCGATACATTTCAGTATTCAGTTTAAAGATCTACTTGTATAACAGTTCGCAGAGAAACACAGTACATCCATTACCTGAAGGAATCTGGCGTTTGCATGAATCGGTGCTGCACGTAATAATACTGTCCACTCTGCATATGTTTAGTCTGAGCTTCGTATTCGATATCTGTTTGCTGCAGGGTGAAGTAAAAGGATCAACCAACCCGCTTAGTATTTCACAGTTTTCTTTCTTATTTGTTAGAGATCAGGACACGCTCATGAAAGGATATCAAAACAATATAAGATAAACCCCAAAGTCGAGAAAGACTTACAGGTTCTCCATCTTCGAACATCCAGTCGTAGGTTTCTGCCGTGGGCAATATAGCCATCCATCCCTCGCCGCCGTCCAACCTCTTAACGCGGTACGGGATGGTGGTGTTGCCATAACTGTCCGAGAGGACCAGGTCGCCGCCTCGGAAGGACTGCGGCTTCACGTTGGTTCCCTTCACGGTGAGTCTGACGAACTCCACAGACGAGGGGCAGACCGCGCCGGGGGCCTTTGGAGATACGGGCGAATATCTTAGGATGCTTCTTTTAGTATAATGTGTTGTAAAGATTCTCCATATAGTGTTCTAGTTTAGAGAGAGAGAGAGAGAGAGAGAGAGAGAGAGAGAGAGAGAGAGAGAGAGAGAGAGAGAGAGAGAGAGAGAGAGAGAGAGAGAGAGAGAGTGGGAGGGAGGAGAGAGGGAGGGAGGGAGGGAGGGAGAGAGAGAGGGAGGCGAAAGAGATCGAGAGCAAGTCCGAGGAATTTACCTCTGGATTCAGAGAGAAAGCTGCGACGCTCTTCGTGCATGCAGGTGGCAGGATACCCGAGTCCGGTACGACTTTGTTTTCAGGAACCCCAGACAGCGATCCATCTGCGTCGATCCACACTGTTTCGTGTTCCCACAGGAACTTCAGCTGCAAGGCATTTTTGTGAGATTTAGAGACATATCAATGTACTAATATATTCCCTAATATTCAAACAACCACGCAACTTCAAAAGCGAGAACAGGTCGCGTTGAATACCTTGTTAGGTGAGTTGACGAAGGTAAGGCCTTTGACCTGAACTTGATAACCTCCCTGGAAGACCTTGCACTGAGAGCACCCTGACAGCGCCGTGCACTTGTTGGTATCGAAGTTGTAGAATTCGGTATCGGCGATACTGAAGACGCTCTTCTTCGGTGCTATGATTCCGCTAGTTGCGTCACCGCAGCCTTCGGGAGTGAGCGCCGAGTGACCGATGATCACTGAGTTAAAGACTCCTGCAAATAGAAAATGAAAGGTGTTAGCGATCACTTCTTATCCGTGTGTCACCATATCGATGAGGGTCCGTTTTGCAAGTGCGTTCGTTGGTTTTATAAATGTGAACATACCAGGTCCATTGTCCAATCCGAATCCACCATCCATCTTCACCATTTCGATGCCGGAA